TACATGTTGTACTTTATACTCTACTACACCTCAGAGCTACATGTTGTACTTTATACTCTACTACACCTCAGAGCTACATGTTGTACTTTATACTCTACTACATCTCAGAGCTACATGTTGTACTTTATACTCTACTACACCTCAGAGGTACATGTAGTACTTTATACTCTACTACACCTCAGAGGTACATGTTACTTGAGTCAGGTTTTGTACAGGACTTTTACTTGTAGTGGAGTATTTTCACAATGTGGTATTCTTTATTCCTTTTTAAAGTGTCATAATTTCCTAAAACAGCTGCTCGCTGTGGTTTGAATCAAACAAACAGAAGGAACTAGTGACTTCTTTCGGGACTATTTTCAGCGGCGGATTAATAAAACAGTTTGCTGGAGGGAGCACAGAGTGATGTGATGAAGTGGAAATGGAAAAATTAGTTATTTTTTAAATGCAACTATATAATTGTGTTTTTAAAAATTGACATCTTCAGTAGGAACCAATGGGCTTAAAGCTGAGAGCCACAGACAGGAAGTCAGGAAGTATTAAGAAGAAGGACTAAAGGTTTTGTCTCTTTTGGGTCTTTTCGTGGATTAGTTGACGATACGAAACATTTAGATCATCACGTATGATCCTCTCATTCACACTTATATTGTCACAGTAAAGGTAGAACAGGCCTCTTGCTGGTGCAGCTTTGAACCCTCACCCATGTAGTTGATGATGAAGCCCTCGCCCTTGCCGAAGACGAGCCCCGCTGGGTCGGAGTGGAAGGTGACGGTGAGGTCGGGGGTGGTGGAGGAGAGCTTGAAGGGGCCGCTTCCTCCCACGTAGCGCCCGAGGATGCGAGTCGTGACCTCGTCGCCGTCGGTGATGGTCAACATGTCGCTGTCGCTGATGTTCAGTCTGAAAAGGAGACGAGACGAGGAGAGCATCAGCTCACTGCGATGACTCGGACCACTGCGTGGGAGACGAGGTGACCTCGGAGGCTAAACGCTGCATTCATCCACAGGCACAGTGTTTAAACACAGACGGGGTGTCATGGCCCCAGAGACGTTCGATTCAGCACATCGTAGACGATTCAGTTACATTATCTGTAAATATGATACATCATAAATATACCAAAAGGACTAAAGTATGTTTTGAAGCTTTCAGGGAGTGAAACTATTGTCAGACACATTTCATACCAAAGAAAAATAACGTTGAATGTAGAATTCATTCAAATACATGTTAAAGAATAAGGCTGGTGGTATTTTACCTCATTGACTGCCTTCACTTGACTTACTTACAGAATGTTTAACTGAGCATTCGAACACACTGCGGTAGATTAAATAAATATACAGATATTACTTTGAGGTGCCTTCACACACTCGGGGGTGTGACGATTAAACAGCATGAACAATGTTTAAAAAAACAAAAGGAAACTAAATACTAATAACTGAAAGGTAAGAACAGAAGAGCCTCAGTGTTGTAAAATATCTCTATAATAATTATAATCATTATGAAGATATTAACATAATTTGCTCCTTCCTTCGTCTTTGGTCTTATTACTCCACATCCTTTACATTGGGCTGAATATTTAAACTGTTCCTGAATTTAACTCAAATATCTTGTGGGAATAAACACTCCAACTCTACGATGGGTGGTACAAACTTTTACATAAACTAAAGTCTTTACCAAACATTCAGACTGCAACAGGATTTATCTACAAAGACAAATCCATCAGAACCACTTGAAAGCTGCTTGAAGTGAATAAAGCGTCGACACACATTGTCTTTTTAAACGTAGTGTGTTTCTGAGGCATGAACGCAGGGATCAGACGAAAAGATTGGATCCATCAGCTTCACACAGTTAACCAGCGGAGGCCGATAAACGTACAGGATGAGGAGGAGGCAGCGTGCTAGAAGTCAGCATGCTCTCTCATGCTGTCAAGTTCTGAATTTAATGGCTCCGTATGAGCAGAAATGGAGAAATATCAACAGGCTGCATACATTTTTAATGTTCTCGCTCAAGCCCAAAACTTCTGATGGAAGTTTCTTTGATGTTTACGAGCTGTGTGTATTTGTGTATTTGTGTATTTCTCACAGCTGTACGTCCAGAAGAACCCGCTTGTCCTCTCCGACGTGAATCCTCCAGCTGCAGTCCTCCCCCTCTCCGTACCACTCGGGCCAGTTAGGAGACAGGATCACCCCACCGGGACCAGTCAGGTCACCACCACACTGGGCTGTAGGGGGGGGGGAGGGGGGGGGGGGGGAAGAGAGAGAGAGAGGACGGGGATAGATTAAACGTTAAGGTATTTCATTTTTACTTGAGTAAAAGTAGTAATACTACAATTTAAAAATACTCAGTTACAAGTGAAAGTCCTGCATCAAAAAAGTAAAAAGTATTAACAACAAAATAAACATGAAGTACCAAAAGTAAGAGTACTCATTATGCAGAACAATATATATCACATTATTACAATGATTGATGCATTAATGTGTTCGGCCCTTTAATGTTGCAGCTGGTAGAGATTATTCTAATGTCGTTATATACTGCTGGTAGTTTAATCTGTAATAATACATCTTCATCTATTAAAAATAATTAATAATCTTAATCTAGTAAATAAAGTTATCAAATAAAAAAAGTACAATATTCACCTCTGAATATTCACCTCTGTTCAGTAGAAGTATAAAGTAGCAGAAAATGGAAATACAAATACCTCTAAATTGTACTTAAGTACTTGAGTAAATGTACTCGGTGAATGAAACTCAACACAAACCGAGCAGAAAAGGGAACCTTGAACATACATTTTGGGGTTTTCTATTATGTAAATAATGAAACCTCACAAGTTATGAACAAGTTATGAACAAGTTATGAACAAGTTATGAACAAGTTATGAACAAGTTATGAACAAGTTATGAACAAGTTAGCATCGAGTTCGGAGAGTTTCCTGAATCTGATAGAAAGCCCTGACTCAGCGTTACCTTTGCACAGCGGCTCCGTGTCGTTCCAGTACGGGTCCCTGGCGCTGATGCACTCGATGACGGGGGGGCCCTGCTCCAGAGCGTGACCCGGGTCACACGTGAACTGGATCACGGCCCCGACGCCGTACAGCGGGTCAGAGGTCGTGAAGTTCCCGTTCTGGAGGTACGGCTCGTAGCAGTGACCTCGCTCGAAAGCTGCAGGAAGAAAATGAGGAATTATTCTCTGAGGAAATAATGAAGTTCATACATGTTGTTTCTGGTGATTCTCTGGTTTCTTTTTTCCTAGAGAGAGAGAGAGAGAGAGAGAGAGAGAGAGAGAGAGAGAGAGAAATCCTCTCTGATGTGTTAATAATAATAACTCTCTATTAATATAAATATATATCCACTCATACAGCAGCTTGTACCTTCGTAGCGGATGTTGAACCCCGTGTTGTGGTTGGGCTGGTCCGTGATGAACTGGATCCTCACAGCCGGTCCTTCACTGATGACCCCCTCAAAGGGGATCTGACCCCCCCGACCCGAGTCAAACAGAACCACGGAGCCAGCGTCCAGCCCGCTCCACAGAACCAACCTGAGGGAGGAAAAGATTAGATTAGATTAAATATACAACCATTTGTTACATGTAAAACATGTAAAACCCTGAAAACGTGATGCTCTGCTACCTGTCAGTGGGTCCCAGGGTCAGTCTCTCCAGGTGGAGGTGCAGCCTCTGGTCCTTGGGGGCCTCCAGGGACCAGGAACAGGAGCGGTCCTGGGTGGCGTTGGGCCCGTGGTGGGGCGAAGGGGAGAGCACCCGCCCCACTGTGGCATTCTTCACTGTGCCTCCACAAAGAGCTGCAGAGAAGGAGCTCACTTTAATGTATTTAAAGGCACAATGTGATCCGTCATAAAGACTCACGTTTATGTGCAGCATATCCTTTAAGGTTATTTTCAGGTTCTGGTGAGCAGTAGCTTTACTGTGCATCAAATATTTAGAATTGTGAGGGAGTGTCTTAAAACTTGCATTCTCTCTAGTGTCCACCAGGGGGCGACT